TGCTAACAGCAGCAGTTGCAACAGCAAGAGCAACTGAAACAGCAGCAACTACCGCCGCATCAACACTCACTCACACATACACAGCAACATGTGTGGAAAGTTTTTTGTTGCCAGGACTTGGTTACACCTCTGCGGCTGCCTCAGAATCTGGATTGCACCAGCAAGGAGTTTCCACCGCTGCTGGTGTTTCCTTTTAGTTTTAGTTTCTTCACCCGCTCCCACTTTGCTAGCTTTTTGTAAGTTTCGGTAAACTTGCCACTTGGCCAAAAAGCAGAACTTGTCCCCGCCAAGTTCCCAATGGAATGTATCTCAATGTGTGGTAAAATAAATTTACGGCTTGACCAAAGGAAAAGGAGATACAATGAGAGTATGGAAGACTCGAGGACAAATGTTACAGAAAGTGTACGAATATTTCATTCCCTAATCTTTCTAGTCTAGACCTCAAAAAATATGTAAAAATAAATAAGCATAAGAGGCCAACATCAATTAAATTGATGAAATTAATCTAAGCTATTAATTAACAGCCACATAAGCGTTATGTTAATCAAAATTGTAAGCAAGGTGAGCTATATGATACTATGAGCTCATTGAAATGGTTTACCTGTTTAATAATAAAGTGATAACTTTTCGGCTTGCTCCGGGACAAAGAGATGCTTTGAGAACCCTTTGGTCAGTTTGATGTGCGCCATGTATCCGTTCGGCTCGGTTGCTGTGGTTACCATTTGAAGATTTTATTAATTAATGAGGAAACCCAGTATTCGCCAGGTCAGGCACAGGTTGGGTAACCTCTCGATGACTCGACAAACAAGGCCTATAATTTTGAGGTGACCCTTCTTCATTAGCAATCCATCGCCAACAACCCTATCCGTTCCGAGCACGGTCCCAATTCGTTCCGCACTCGGTTTAATTGAGTGTTTGATTTAATTATAGACCATTTAAATGGCGTTGTTCTGGCGCTGCATCATTAAGCATTGATTACGCAAGCTGATTAATTAGTTGACTTGCCCATACACACGCACAACCTCTATGTATTCATGACAATGCATCAAAAGTGCGTTGTAATTATGTAATGGTTGCTCACAATTCGCATGCAAATTACGTTAGTTTGTCGAGCTAATTGTGATTGCAGGGTTCTGCATTATCCTTCTGCCTGAGAGGGCGAGAAAAGAGGAACAAAAATGACGAAGGGCTACCGCCGAAAGCTTTCCGATGCACCATCTCAACTTTTAATGACAAAATGTTGAGCAGCGCTTAGCCCCAACTTTCCCCCAGCTCATGTCGGTTCGGTTCTCTTTGGTTCAGACCGTTGGTCACTGCACTTAAAGAAACACTTTGTTAAAAGTTAGAAATAAATTTTAGTTTTTAGTTTAAGAAATTATAAAAGTGTTGCAGCAAAATATTAAATAATGCTTATAATATAACAAATGAGGTTAGGTTACACTCTAGTTCCTTTAGCTGGTTCTTGTCAGTGTTGACTCTCATGGGAGTGGTGGCCGCAAAAACCGCCGTTTCATGATTTAAATTTAATGCAACTTTTGCTTTATAGCCAAACTGTCGCACATACACCCTCGCATACATACATGTAAAAGCCAGCACCCGCACACTGCCACACATTAATGTAAAAGCTATAAAGTCATGTGCAACACCATGGCCACTTCCTGGCGGTGGCAGCGGCATCGGTATCGGGAGCAGCACCGGAGCACAGCAGCAGAGCAGAGCAGGATCAGCTGCTGGTTCGGGACTCTCTGGCAGCTATTTGGTCACTGCACTTAGTGCACTTCCTTTGCTCGCATTTCTGGGGTTTTTGCCAGCCAGCCAGCTATAATGTATGGAAGGAGAAAGAGGTTTAGATGGGGGGGACTTAGAGGGTTAAAGGTTTTAAACCGGCTACCCATTGCTACATTATGGTGGGAGGATAAAGACAAGAAAATAGGATCAAAATAATAGAAATGAATTAATTTGTTGTTCAATCAGCTTGATTTTATTTTGATTTTTAATTACCCAACTTACATATTTTACATAATTTGTAAACTCATTTACGACATACAATTTTAAGCTGCTTGCCTAGCTTAAATCAAAGACTTGAAAGTGTCTGCCAAATACAAGCAGCCCAATGGGAATTAAAAAAGTCGTGACGTTCTACAAACAGTTTAGGTTTTGGGCATCTATTGCAGTGGTGGTATAGTGGCAGCTGCCTGATGAAATGCCGTGCTTGGCGGTTGGGCGTTGAGATTTTCTAGCAGTTGCAGAAGCAAAAGACCGACAGCTCCCACCTCCCCACATACGAGGATGAATGTGGGTCATACTGGGCGTGGGTGTGTACGATGGAATTTTGCAGTTTTAGTTAATGTTTAGCCATGGCAATTTCGGCCCAAAAAATGCCATCTCGAGGAGCCAAATACTTTGGCAGCATCACTTGAAACATTTAACGCTTAAATATCAGTACTCGTGTGTGTCTAGCGATAGAGGGAGAAAATCTGTACGTTGGGTTGTGGATTTGTTGACGAAAGTGGTTTAGGGCTAGTTCCATTTCGGCATTGGATTTGCCATTAGAGCCTGTCCAAGCGTGTAAATGAAATTTGATAAGATTAGGCTGTGCAATTGTTGCAGCCACAGTCGCCTTCTAGGCTCGTCCATTCCACCCCCAGCCACATGGGAGTTCTTAAGCAACTTGGGGAGCTTTCTTTGAGTGGTATAAGAGTCAAACCGTTGAATTTTTAAAAATCGTTTGCGAACTTTTCATGTTCCACAATTTCTTGTTTGCTTCAGGGTTTGGGGCGCATGTCAGTCGAAACCAAGAGTTCGAAATCGAAAATGAGCGCCGGGGAGAAAGTAGGGAAAACTCTCTTGGCCGAGAGAGGAAAACGCTTTTCACAGAGCAACTTGTCGGCTTCGGGTCTCGTGGTCTCACGTAAACTTACACGCTTACACCCCATTGTAGTAGGGTTTTTGTGAGCGGTGTGTGTGATTATATTTTTTTGTTGGGTTAGAGGTGTAGGTTAAGTGTTAGCGTTATTTGAACATGAAATCTAAATTATTAATTTTGAGCTTTAAGGTTTAGGAAAACTGATCCATTTCTTTTAAGTTGTGAAACAATTCTATGCAATGTCAAATATTTATAAGACCTGTAATCTCTTTGGAACAACTAGCATCCCTTCGGGAGAACCTCTGTGTTGCAAGTTTCCTTGCTACACATCACTGCAACATATAACATAATCCCTGATCCTTGACTGGCTGCCTTGACCAGCGAAGCTGCAGTAACCGAGAGCTGGTTTGGACGCCGCTTTGTATAACTCTCATTCGTCTTGGGAAAGCCAATTCAAAGAATTTTCGGAAACGCGAGAGAAACGAGTGCACATGAAATGCGTGGTGGAACGCGAATACCAAAGGTTTTAAGGGGCAGGAGGGTGTTGAGGCAGGACCAAGCTGAATTAAGTGGAACCAAGGCAAACACAACGTTAAAAGGACAACATTTTAATACTAGCAATATCTTTATTATAAGAAAATAAATTTGCACTTTAAATAAATTTAAAAATTAATCAAATTGATAGTTATTATATAAAACAAATAGGTCTAGCATCTAAAAATTGATTTTTGATGGGCTTCTGAAAATTGTATATTGAATTGTAAAATAAACAAGAAAGGAAAGCTAACTTCGGGTGGAGCCGAAGTTTATATACCCTTGCAGCTAAAACCGGATATATATCGCAAACATCGGATATAGTTGGCCGATCCTTATGAAATTTGGTAGGATGGATCAAAATATAATCTGTACCAAGTTCCAGCTTTCTATCTTCAAAAACACAAAAGTTGGGTCATTTCCGATCGTTCAGTTATATGGCAGCTATAGGATATAGTCGGCCGATCCTAATGAAATTTGGTAGGTTGGATCAACTAACCAAAAATAGAGTCTGTACTAAATTCCAGCTTTCTATCTTCAAAAACACGAAAGTTGGGTCATTTCCGATCGTTGAGTTATATGGCAGCTATAGGATATAGTCGGCCGATCCTTATGAAATTTGGCATGTCGTATTATTTTGCCAAAAATAGCTCTCATGTCAAATTTGAACTCTCTAACTCTAAAAACACCAAAGTTATACCATTTCCGATCAATCAGTTATATGGCAGCTATAGGATATAGTCGGCCGATCCCGGCCGTTCCGACTTATATACTGCGTGCAAAGGAAAGAAGGGTGTGTGCAAAGTTTCAAGACGATAGCTTTAAAACTGAGAGACTAGTTTGCGTAGAAACAGACAGACGGACAGACGGACAGACGGACATGCTCATATCAACTCAGGAGGTGATCCTGATCAAGAATATATATACTTTATAGGGTCGGAGATGTCTCCTTCACTGCGTTGCACACTTTTGGACAAAATTATAATACCCTCTGCAAGGGTATAAAAATAATATTGCAAAGAGCTTTTAATGGTATTCATTCTTGAAACAAAAATTGGTATTCTTAAACATTAAATTAAATATTAAATATTTACTGGAGACTGGGACTTGGCCTTAGAAATAATGTGCTATATTTAATCATACATATGGAATGCATCATTATTTAAAATTTTTATTTTGAAGGATGAACAATTATTTCATCCTAAATCTTCCATATAATCTTGATCTTATACTCCTTTCAGACAACTTAGTAATTCAAGTTCAAAGAAAGCTTTGCTGGAACACAAGTTCCACACCATTTCACTCCCACATCACCCAAGCGGATTTCATGTCTCCGAGTTGTGAGTTTTCTGGCCAAAACTCTTATAAAGACTTCGAGGTCGAATGGAGAGCACGTTACAAGCGTGGCCCACTTACAGAGTTCGCCCGCTGAAAGGACTCGTGGGCTCGGCAATTTCGAAAGTCCACGACCCGAAAGCCGTCCCGAAAAAGCCGAGTACCGAATTGCGAATTCCGAATCCAGAATCGTGTGGGGGGCGATGGCAAACGCGGCCAAAACCACGAATGAATGGCCAGGCGCTTTAGTACTGAAAAGGTCGTGGATTTGTTTAGTCGTCGTGCTCCGTTGTCGTTGTCGTGTTGTCGGTAGCGTTGTCGTTGTCGCTTCGCAAAGGCATCGCATCGCAACGCCTCACATCGCGTATACGCAGTGTAGACCGTCCGCATCCGCAAACTGGCGAACGAAGGAGTGTAATATCTGACAGCCAGAAAAATAAACAAGTGCAACTCTATAAATTGGGATGCATGGTTATGTTGTATTTTAATAAGACTGGCAGTTGTAATTGTTGAATGCAAAAACGCCAGTGATTGGAAAGTGCACGTGTCTGCTGAGAAACATCTTAAACGCCTGCGTTAAGTTTCGGATGTGTTGTTATGCAAATCGCGTCCCCTGGCCGGAGGCAACAATAAAGTGTATGAGTGAGTGTGAGTGAGTGCCAACAGTTACAGTTCCAGTGTTAAGGGATGTGGGTAGCGAGTATGGTAGCTGGAGTACGCGCCCACAATGCATAAATCAAAATACACATTATTGAGTCATAAATAAAGTTCGCATCGGCTGCTACTTTAAATAAGGCCTTGAGGCGGGCGACGACGAAACTCGCAGACGAGAAACCCAAATACTGAGAACCGAGAACGTAGAACGGCGAAAGCGAAAGCCAAAATCGAAATTTATGCCTCGCACCCGCCAAATACTTTGCCATATTTTTTGCTCAATTGCTTGCCGCCCGGGCCCGGCTCCAACTCCTGCTCCGGCTCCTTCGCTCATTGATATGATGTGTGCGTCTCGCTGGTTGCATAAAACTTGCTCAACGCCAGCGCGCCCTCAGCTACAACAATAAGCAAAGCACATCAGCAGGAGCAACTCCTTCACGAGCAGCAGCAGCACTAACCCCGGCGGGCTGCTTTTATTACAAAGGCCGTAAAAAGCACAAAAAGCGGAGTAAACGCCACAGCAAAAGGATACAATCAGGCCAAAAGCGGTAAGTGCATGTGAGGAACAAATACGGGCCAAAACAAGCATGTACATTGTACGTGTGTCTTAATAACCAAAAGGTAAAATGGGAAGTCGAAATTAAATGCCTAGAGAGTCCTAATCTACTAGGCGAAGGGCCTTTAGTAAATGAAAAGTAAAAGCTTTCATTTTAAACGACTATATTAAAGAAAAAGCTTTACATTTAAATTATAAGAAACATACTTGTTGTACTTTATTTTTTTTTATGTTTTGAATTTATTTTTAACACTTCTATTTTTTAATAACTTAATTTTATTCCATATAAATGATGAAATAATCTAAAAAAAATAAAATATAAAGCCTTTCACATGTACAAAATACATTTTTGATGACTTTGTTTGCTGGCATCAGGAATTTTTCAGGACGATAAAGTATTATAATATTTGTTCGTATCGATAGCAGATTTGCAAACAAAAATAATGCCACAAAATGCATTCAATCGCAGAATCCTCTCGGAATCATAGCCTATATGTTTTTAAACCACTTATTCTGGCGCCAACAAAGTGGGTCATACAATTTGTCAGCGACTCTGGCACAGATAGTATTTCCCATTGCTTTTGATCATTTTTTGTGGATGCCTCGGTGTCAGTTAGTCAGATAGTCTGGCTTCTCGAAGTGCGTTAGACTTTCTCGGGGAGAATGAGTGCGAGTTCGAGGCAGCCATGGAAATCATATTAAAATGCTGTCTGTGCATAACCTACTTTTTATTTCTTTTTCTGCTTTTTTTGTTTGTTACTCTATATGTATAGTATATGCGGTATGGTATACAACACTCACACCCGCTTGAACTGGAATTCGTACTCGTACTCATACTCATACACGTATATTGTTGCCATTTCACTTTTGCTGAGCACGTCTTCACACAAGCACACACTGCGTATGCCACAGTGTGTGTTGCAATGCTGCAGGCGCTTGCCAAATGCGCTTTGTTGCCGCCATTGTCAACATGGGGCATGCAGGAGGAGACGGCGGGCAAAGCGGCTGGGCGAGGGAGGGGGAGTGTGAGGTGGAGCAGAAACAGCAGTAGGAAATTTTTGCATTTTTCGGCTCAGTCAGCGCAACGTGGCTTGGCATCCGGCCAGAGGCGACGCCGGAGACGGGGCTGGGCGGACGGTTGGCTCGTCTCTGATTTTCTGCAGAGCTTAAATTATTAAAAGACCGGTCCAAAACTCAAGGAGCCGCGCATAAATCAAGCTGGCCAGGGGACAACCTGGCGTATGCGCAACTTTAATAACATGAGCAGCAGCTGCAAAAGTTTTGCCTGTCAGGAGGGAGCAAGTTTAATGCAGCATGTAAATATTGTCATGACACACGAAAACTTTCACTGGTCCTTTGTTGACAGGCTCTCGAGGACAGTGGCTCGACAAAGGATGAGTGTGTGTGTGTGTGTGAAGACTGCCGAGATTTATGGGCGCAAATGGAAGACGAAGCGTGTGACTCGCATCAAACTGGGAGTGAAAAGTTTCACAATTAATTTTAATAGTTAATAGCGGAACTCTCCAGGCATGTGTCTTGCCCAGCCTCTTGAAATGACTTTGTTACTGGGAAGCTCTAATCTTAGATTGCAACAAATATAAGTGTTTTATGGATTTTATGTTTTAATTAGATTGAATTTATCTTAGATTATCTAAAAAACCACCAGGTACTTAATTTATCTCTCTACCAAGCTTATATACCGCTTTTACAAATAAAAGACTAACAGACGTACATGGGATATCACATTACAAAGCAAACAAGAACAGAAATCAAAGCTTTGACTGTACAAAGCCAAATAATCCATCAAGTGGTATTAACTTGAAACAATAAATTTCACACACAGCTGCAGAGCAACCAACCGGCAACGCCAGGCACTTGAAGTGCTTGACAACTAATCAGGTTTCAAATGCCTAAGCATACACACTCTTGAACTCTTAGCAGCAACAAGAAAAATAAAAACAGAAAAAAAGGTAACTAAAATCCAGGCAAGGGGTCCGCTTTGGGGAAACAATCCGATGTGAGCGTCGGTAATCAAAGCTGCTTACGGCCTGCCCTTTGATTGTACTTTATGAGAACGCGGGGGACTGGCCCTGCGCCATTTGGAATGTAGAATTGCTCGGAGATTTTCATTTTTTATTTAATGCATTCGGTTTCAGTCTAGACGGGGCTAAAGTTGTCTTTCGGGAGGGTGGATTAAATTTCTTTGTATAAACATCTGCCTTTTCGGGTAAAGCAAAAAAAGGTTTGGGTATTTGTCCAATTCATTTAATTATTGGTACAAAAAAGAACGATTTTTGGGGTACTCTAAAACTAATATATACTACCCAACAATATATTGGATTTTTTCTTAGATTCTCTTTAGTTATTGCTTAGGCCCTTCCACGATTTTACAGCCATTGCATCATGGCTGGAAATGAGCACAAATTGTTTTGAAAAGGCAAGCCGAGCGTTAAGTCTGGCTGATGCTAATCCGGTATTTGGCATCTGATCCTGAGTGCTGCCAATCAGAACAAAATCCTGCAGGCTGGCCTGCGAAATTAACTGAAAAGGCTAATGCACTTTCAATTTTGAGCCGGACGAAAAAAAATAAAAGAACCCAAACCGACCGAAGGGAGCACATAAAGGGGACAGGTCGAAAAACTAAACTTCAAACGGGGTGGGGCTGGCAGGTACGAGAAGAATATGAACCCATTCAAAAGCTCGACCCAAATCTGGAGGGGCAAGAAAATGCAACAGAAAAATAGAGACTTGAACAAGCAACTACGTTGGTACTTATATTGCTTTGGCTCCGAAACGGTTCATTCTTTAATGTTTTTTAGAGTATCTGGATTTAGGAAAGAGATTAGTAAACATTAGCCACTTTATAGTTTCGAAATATTACCCGTTTAAATAAATATTTCAAAAATGTTTAGCCCCGTCTGAAGCTACTGCATGTTCCATCAAAAAGTAATTCCATCATATCGTAAAACTATAAAAGCCCGGACAGCTAGTTATGCAAAGTGTATTAAATGCAGCGTCTAGCTGAGAAACTTTTTCCACCCGGATGGCGGCTTCCCACTAGTTTTTCCAGCTTCGGGCTCCTTTCATTTTCCCGCAGTTTCTTTCTGCGTTTACCGTTGGCATTGTGTGCGCATAATAGCCTGAAATTAAATCAGCAAGCGCGTGGGTAACTTAAAATAATAGCCATTGCTTATGTTTAAGTAAAATATGTACTTGGTGTACGGCAGAACTGACCAGAAGAGCCAGGAGGAGGCGGGGAGAAACATTGCAGCAGCCGCCGGGCTTTTTTTGTGATTTCATAGTCTGAAATTCAGACTGCTTACTTATTTCCGTTTCCGCTTGGCCTGCTGCCTGCCCGCTGCCAGCCTTCTGCATTTTTTATTAGCCACTCACCGTTCTCGACTGGCATACTGTTGGACCACTACAGCTCCTTTTTTCTGTACTCATGGCCGCATATCTGCCGCAAACTTTAGTGGAGCTGCTTAAGAGCTCTGCTTAATTTTTAGTGGTAGTTTCGTGGAGATTATCTTCGGCTTAGAACCAACAGAAATCGGGTGCACTGTAATTTTTCCCTATTGACACGACAAAATGGCTGTAATTCCAAGTGTTTGCTGAACTAAAGGCAATGTGATTGCTATTTGAGTGTCACTTGGACAGTTTCAAGCTCCAGATATATTTCAATAATAATAATTAATAAAACGAAACCGAGACCAAACCTGCTTGTCCTTATTGATTTATGGCCCTTGGTAAATTGCGGCACTTAGTGTAATTGTTTATATGTACATAGTGCATGCATATACATATATGCCAAAGGTTGTCCGATCCAGGTGGGGGTAGTTGATTAGCCTTCATACACATACACAAACAGGGTCAATCGGGCAGCTTTTGTTTCTAAAACTTCCCCATAGATGTATAATTTTTTTTTTGTAAGTAAGCTGATAAGTCCCCGAAATATCTTACTTTAGATTTACCTATCATTTGATTTGATTGAGTTCATTGTGTTGTTTCGCCACTGTGTTGCTCTTAGAATAAGCATTAAGTTCTAAACTATTATAATACAAAAATACTTTGCCAAGAACTCACTCTCCTTGTGGTTATTTAATTAAATATTTTGTAAAATGCTTTTCCCATCTACATCTCGTGTACGGGAGCTGCAATCTCGAGTCACTCAGAATTCTAGAATATGAAGAGAAGCCGCAGCTAGACAAATATGCAAACAAAGTGGGGTTGGGGAGACTTCTGGCATAGGAAATGAGCAAATAAAAGAGACATTCAATTATCTAAAAAGCAAAACAAATATGAAAATTAATTTGACATGTTTGACATTTTGGGCAAACACAAACATGAACATCAAAAGAGGGCGGAGTGGCGTGGGGCATTAGGAGCGACAGGCTGAGAGTGACAGAAAATGCCAGAAAAACATTTGATTAACCCAGATAAAAGGGCAGCGAAGGAAGCAGGACTTCAAGGTGGCAGGGGCGGCCAAGGGAAATGGCGTGACAAACGCTTAACTCTTTAATCAGGGATTCCTTTTGACCCGACCTCAGCTAATTTTCAGGGCGAATGTGAGCATTTCCATTTCTGTTTGTTACTTTCTTCTATCCGAATTATTTTCCTTCCGTTTTTGGTTTTTGCCTTTTTATTTGCCATAATTTCTATGCGCGAGTCACGCAAAGTTTTGCGTCTAAAGTGTGTCCATGTGTGTTTGAGGGTGTATCCTGTGGTGTGTGTGTGTGTGTTTGTCACGCATAAAGCGCTGACAGCAAAGCAAACAGTAAACAGCAAACACAGGACGAGGGGACTATTAAAAGCAAACACGCGCACACACGTACAAAACTAAAACTGGGCCTAAAAAGTGTACAGAGCAAGGACATTGCGAAAGGATTTTTTGCAAGCACGAATCAGAAAAAAACTAAGCCTCAGAAGCCACAATGTTGCTGTTGATGATGATGGTGGCTAAGAAGCAGAAATGCCAGTGGCAGCTACAAAATA